CCTTCAATCCTACTCTCCCCCTCAGAAATAATTGTAGTTAAGAGTTTGGGGCGTATTTTTTTCAGGCTTTTTTCAATATGTGTCTGTAATAGCCAATTTTACATGTTTAAAAGCAGAGCTCCTGGAGCCAGGCTACCTAGAACAGAATTTGAGTCTGCCTTTTAATAGTTTTGGGGTTCGAGGTGAATTATTTATCCTTGCTGGGTCTGTTTCCTCATCTATACAACCGCAAGAATAATAGTACCTAGCTGATTAAGTGAATTCATACGTAAAGCAACTACAGCGCCTAACATGTAGTAAGTTTCTAAGAAGCGTTTGTTAGATATGCTATGCAAGTATAGGATTTTATGTTGCTTTTAAAAATACATAAATGAAACTATACTATACTTACTGTTCTGCAACTTATTTTTATTTTCGCTTAACAATGTATCTACCTCATTTTATAATACGGATATACTATGGTGTATTTAACCAGTCATTATTTAATTTGTTTGTAAATTGATTGCCACATGGGAATATTTTCCAGAAAATCCCTAAAATTTTTGAGTCATAGTATATGCACACTTTGTTTATTTGTGCACTAACATTGCTGTATGAGGAGGATGTTTTTAAATTCCCATCAGCAGCCCTAACCAGCAGGAATCAAGAGTGAATCAAGTACATACCGGACAAGACACGTCCCCCTGGTCACATAACCTCATGAACAAGTGTCAAGAAACCTTGGAGGGCCAGGCTCGGTGGCTCATGCCAGTAATCCTAGCACTTTGAGAGGTCGAGGCGGGTGGATGGCCTGTGCTCAGGAGTTCGAGAGCAGCCTGGGCAACACAGTGAAACCTTGTCTCTACTGAAAATACAGAAAATTAGCCAGGCATGGCAGTGTGTGCCTGTAATCCCAGCTGCTCGGGAGGCTGAGGCAGGAGAATTGCTAGCACAAGGGAGGCGGAAGTTGTAGTGAGCCGAGATTGCGTCACTGCACTGCAGCCTGGGCGACAGAGTGAGACTCCATCTCTTAAAAAAAAAAAAAAAAAAAAAAGGCAACCTTGGAGATACCTTTTGTCACAGCCGCCTTCTTGTTTCTAGCTGCTGAGGTCATGAGGGAACTTGAATATCCTTAATATCTCCTTTCCCTACACTCAGCAGTTCCAGCCTTCCCATGACCCTATTGTCTGCTTTGAGTCCACCAGGACTGTCTTTGTTAGGCCCTGTATCAGTCCATTTTCATGCTGCTGATAAAGACATACCCGAGACTGGGCAATTTATAAAGAAAAAGAGGTTTAATGGACTCACAGTTCCACATGGCTAGGGAGGCCTCACAATCATGGAAGAAGGCAAAAGGCATGTCTTACATGGTGGCAGACGAGAGAGAATGAGAGCCAAGTGAAAGGGGTTTCTCCTTATAAAACCATCAGATCTCATGAGACTTATTCACTACAATGAGAACAGTATGGAGGAACTGCCCTCACAATTTAATTATCTCCCACCTGCTTCCTCACACAACACATGGGAATTATGGGAGCTACAATTCAAGATGAGATTGAGTGGGGGCACAGCCAAACCATATGAGGCCCTTTACCTACATGTTTATAAGACTCACTGTAAAAGCTCCCAACTCCAGGCCACCTCTCCTCTCCCATCAGATCTGCCCATCTCTACTTCTAACCCCATCTCCCACATATTCTTTTTTTTTTTTTAGATGGAGTCTCACTTTGTCACCCAGGCTGGAGTGCAGTGGCACAATCTCGGCTCAATGCAACCTCCAACCTCTGCCTCCTGGGTTCAAGTGATTCTTCTGCCTCAGTCTCCTGAGTAGCTGGGACTACAGGTGCATGCCACCATGCCTGGCTAATTTTTGCTTTTTGGTAGAGATGGGGTTTCACCATATTGGCCAGGCTGGTCTCAGACTCCTGACCTCATGATCCACCCACCTCGGCCTCCCAAAGTGCTGGGATTACAGGTGTGAGCCACCACGCCTGGCCCACATATTCTTTATCAAACTCTTGAACTCCTTTCCGTTGTTTCTTCTGGAATTCAAGATCCTTCCTCAGCAAAATCTGCTACACGTTCAACCTCTTTTCTGAAGGAAAGTTTCCTTTACCTTCTTGCTCTGCAGAAAACCTGGTTGCCTGGGGATGCTTCTTCCCTTACAATCTTCTCAAGTCAGGGCTGCTTTTTCTGGTACATCCTTCTATATTTATGGGCCTGGAATGACTGTAGGTCTCTTTGATCTTTTTTCTTTTTTCTTTTTTTCTGCTTCAGACCATTCTCCCTCCTTTTCCCCCAACTTTGAATGTAATTTCATCAAATGATATTACCAGCTAACCTTGTTGTTGCAATTATCTCTCTGTCCCTGAGCCCCACCTAATTTCTGTGTGACTTTAGCTCCTGACTCATTATCACTCTCTTCTGCACATTTTCTATATTAATTTTTGAAGATTCAGCGTATACATAGATGATCTTTCTAACACCCTGGCGTCTCAGTTTCTTGAATTCCTTTGTATCTTGTCCTACACCCTACCTCAACCATTACGCATGATCACACCCTAGAAGTTGTCACAACAACCGACTAAAACCCTTCCATAATCTTAATTTCATGCACCTTACTCTCTGACCTTACCACCTCCTGTAGTTGCAGGTCACTCCCTGTATTAGCACAATTCTAGCAATCCTTCCATCTTTTCAGAACCTCTAATCCATTGATCTACTCTTTTTTGTTTATTCCGATGCCTACTTACCCAGCTTGAAACCCATGACCATCATCATAATGATTCCCTGCATAATGCGCTCAACCTTTCACTTTACAAAACCAACTCTACTCAGCCATGCTTCTACTTGTTCAGCTGGATGAGCCTGAAGGAAAACACACAATGGCACTGTCTTGCCCCATATTAAATCAGGACCAAGAATGTCAAGTGGGTTCTTATGCTGGCTGGCCATCATAACACAGAAGGTAGCAGGGGATGGGGGTGAATAGAAATATGTGAAGTTATACCTTGTTTCAAGAAAGGATAACAATATGGATTAACTCTATGAGGTGACAGAAGAATATACACTGAAATATATATTATTTATGAGCAATCACTATTGTTTTTATAAATTATTTTCCCTTCAGGGTGTTACTGTTGGGGATAGGGACTACCACTCAATAGATTCTTGGAGAATTTAATTTTGACTAGAGTTTTTTTTTGTTATAGGTAACAATGTAAACTGATAAAGGTGGTAGTAGGGGTGGGAGTGATGCTGATGGCATGGACCTGGGTACTTCCTAAATGTATTTTATCTATATGCCATTCTCCTTAACCTTGATAGTCTTTATGTTCTTGGTAAACAATAACTGAATGTGCTTACAGGGCTAGACTGAAGATTTTAGTTCTGAGAACATTATGACTTCTTCAGAGCAGAAGTCATATACTCTTTGTGAATCTCCATCCTATGGCCCAAATCCATTTTGTTTCTTTTCCCATTGCTATTTTTTTTAAATTACTGACATTTTTTAGCCCATATTTAAGGTATAAACCTACTTTGGGAGCAAGGGATTAAATTGGATAAGAGGTAGATAATCTTAGTAATAATCCTTTCCTTAAAACCTTTTTTAAATGAATAATCTGGCCTGTAATCCTAGTACTTTGGGAGGCTGAGGCGGGCAGATCACCTGAAGTCAGGAGTTTGAGACCAGCCTGGTGAAGCCCCATCTCTACTAAAAATATGAAAAAAAAATTAGTTGGGTGTGGTGGCGGGCGCCTGTATTCCCAGCTACTCAGGAGGCTGAGACAGGAGAATCACTTGAACCCTGGGGGTGGAGGTTGCAGTGAGCCAAGATGGTGCATTGTACTCCAGCCTGGATGACGAGAGTGAAACTCTGTCTCAAAAAAAAAAAAAAAAATTAGTAATCTGATATATTACCTCCTATAAAAGTTTTTGGATTTAAAAAAAAGGTCACTAGGATGCCTAACCAATGAAAAGGAATACAAATAAGTAGTCCTTGAACTGATTCCTTTAAATGGCATATTCTGAGATTTTTGTTTTTAGTTTTTGTTATCATTTGTCTTGGTAATAGAATTATTTAAAAAAAAAAACTGATTCAGGTAAGGGACAGATTTTGGCAGTGTCATGTTTTATAATTAAGTAAATAGGTTATAATTTAGAATTTTAGAGTTTTTTTAAAAAGCCACATAGCTTTTTGCATCTGACACAAGTTAAGACTGAGACTGAGACTGATCAATGATCATTATCAGTGTATTAAGCATGTATTTATGTCATTTATCTAGCATGCACGGCCTTCAAACTTTACTGAATTAGCAAAAATTCTTCCCCGTATTTCTTTTTAGTAACTCACTAATATATGATAAATGATGAAGAAAATAAATGTTAAGCCTTTTATTTTTGCCATTGTTAAATGGTTTAAGGCCTTCATTTTCTATAATTATTTTATACTCTAAGAAAAAAGACAATAATTTTTTCCTATAAAATCTCAGTATCTTATTTCTTAGCCACACTTTAAAACTGAAGAGATTAGTGATTTTTTTCTATGTCAATATGTAAAATATGCAATACAAAATTGTACAAACCCATTTAATTCCATTCTGTCTTTGTCAAACATCCTCCCTAATAAGAGCTCAACCAACTATTTGATTAATTATAAATCGCTATTTTTTGATATGATATTCACAGTAGAATAATTTATAATAGACAAAATTACAAACAATAAGATCTTGGTGTTCACTAGGATTTATGGTGTTTTCATGCAATGGAATACCGAACTGACACAAAAGTCATGTTAGAAAAGAATATTGACGTGGGGAAAAGTTCATGATATCTATTACACAAAAATTGTGAGCTATGGAACTTTTATGTATAGCTATATGCTGTATTTTTTCATCAAACCAACATAGCAAAAATGCTACAAAAACTTACACTTATTCCTGGGGGCAGGAAGTGGGAGAAGGCATTTAGGATTTTTTATGACTCTTAAATTTTTCTTTAGTTTTTTCTATGTTTTTCAGAGTTTCTGCACTGACCATCTGCTACCTCAGTAAGTAGAAAAAAACCTTTTTAACCTAATTGCTCAAATTTAAATGGTTTTATTTAATTTCATTTTCCAAATCAGCCAATATTTATTGAATGTCAGACTAGTGTAAGACACTGTAGGAAGACATTTTTAAAACAATTTTCCCTGCATTCAAAGAGCTTCCAGATTCCAGTTTTAGAAGAATTGGATGTAAAAAAATATAAAATGCTAAAAAAAAAAATCAGTAAAGTTCAAAGAAGTAAATCCAGGAATTGAAAGGTGATATGTGACATATGATTGATTATAGGGGCACTTACTGCTAGAGGGTCGCTTACTCTCTGTTTAACATTCTTGTGTTAAATCTGATAAAATACCAATCTAACCAATCCATGCTTTTTTCTTTCCTATTTGTGCAAAACCCTGGTGTTTTTCACTGGTGACCTCATCATTAGTGAATAATCCTTTTCTTGAGTTTAATTTCAGTGTCATTTAGTAAAGGAAGCCTCCTAGTTCCCTGAGTGCAGGAGTATACACTTATCATTTCAAGTCCTACCCTTTGTCTGAGATTTTTATTTAGATATAGGCTATAAAACTTTCTTCCTTCCCTAATTCCTGATGTGGAATAAAAGATGGAGAAGGGGAAAAAAAAGACACGTGTTTTTACTGTGGAGCTCTTAATATGTTTTCTAAGCGATAGAAAGGAGAGTATAGTAAGCTAATCAGTCATTTAGTCAATGGCTATTTTTTTGAGAGATACATAGAAATAAATGTACTAGCACCAAAGCACGGTGCTGCATGCCAGTCAGTGAGGTGGCAAAATAAAGAGGATAGAACCAAAGCTATTTAAATATATTTCAAATAAGGATTCTAACTTTATTTTTCCCCCTCAGTACTTAACCATGTTTGTTAATTCCTCCCATGGGAAACACTCGGAATGAATTATTGTCATTCAATGAGGCTAATTCTACTGGAAAGCAATGTGCTACTTAGCACCATTAAGACAAATAGTATTTTTAAGCCTATAATAACAGAAACTGATGGTTTAAGTTTCCCTGAATGTTATCTATGGGTAGGTAACACAAATAATTGTTGAATCATATTCTTCTGTCACACCATATAGATTTTCCCACATTTCCTTCCAGAGTGATTTTCAAAACCATGTGTGAGAATATGTATTTTCCCACAGAGGGGACGTAAGCACAGGATAAATTTTAAAAGTGGTACAATAAAAGTGATAACAGGGTCTTAATGACATTTCTTCATGCCTGATAAGTGAGAATGATGCGGGGATAATTATTTCTCCATAGCACTTGTGAATTATATTTATCTAATGAAAATTTTAATTTTTTTCTCCTTATTATTCATCCCTCCCTCCTTTCCTCTCTCCCTTCCTTACCTCTTTCCTTTTCTTCCACTGTAAAAATTGTCTTTTTTCTCTCCCCTATCTTTTTCCCTCCCTCCCTTCCTTCCTTCCTTTTAATAATTTGCATAGATATGTTTGAAATTAGATTTCTGCAGCTGCTGCTGGAGAGTGAGGGGCTCTTTTCTTATCAATTAACAAATAAAGAGGTTGATAAGCCATGTTCTCTGGGACAAAACAAATATGGCTGCTCAAAGCAAAACAACAATAGCCTCCTAATTGAAAGAGACCTCTTCAATAGCTCCTTTAAAAACTAAAAAATAATTTGTTTAAAATAAAATAAGTATATTCTAACAAATGAATACTTTATTCAAGCAATACATTTAGTGTAAAAAATTTACATCACTATTTTTCCATAATATCAGAAAATTATTTCTCTGAAAAAAAACCTTTATTAAAGGATAACTTCATAACATCATACTCATTCTTGCATAGTTATAAGCCTGTTAAAACATACAAGTTTCTCATTTAAGTGAATTTACCACTTACATTAAATAATATTTATTGAGCACCTGTACGTTTTTCTACCTGAAGGTAGAAATTCTGCTAGTCAAATTACTGACAGAATAAATGTAAGTATTCCCCTAAGTAATGCCCCCTACCTTTCCAGGAGTCACTGGTCACTGTTTATATTATTAATTAGTCAGTACATTCTGAAGTAAATTTAGGATTTTTTAAAAAGATATGGCAATTGTTTTTTCTTGACTACATTTGGACTACTGAATATTTTCTCTTTTTCTTTTTTTTTTCACATGCCCACTGTGTCAAATGAATATTCTTGATGTTACATTTTTACCTGAAAATTTTAAAGTTCTGAATAATTTCTCACGCTCTAAATTCCCAGAAGATAACAAGAAGAGGTAAAGGAAACTGTGATCTTTCCAAGGCTTCTCCCTTCCTCACAGTGATATGAGGAATAAACACAATAGCGTTCATTGAATGACTTGGGAGGAAAAGCATTCTGCTGTCTAGAGTCAGAATATTACAGTTGGAATCCTAAGAGAGTACCTTGCCCAGCACCCTCATATTACATATGAGAAGAATAATGAGCTATGAAGAAGCTGACTTCCCCCATGTCACATGGTTGACTAATTCCCTCACAAACTTGCCCATCTATCTGCTTTTCTTCTTCAGTATCTTCCCAGTTGCTGAATGAGAAACCGCTCTCCTCCCCTTCAGTCTCTCCCCAGCTCCCATCAGTTGCACCTCTGAACCACCCCTCCTTTCTATTCCCACTGCCTCCTTCCCAGTTCAGGTATTCATGATCCCCAGCCCATGTTCTTGCAGCAGTTTTCCACTGTTCTCCTGGTGTTCAGTGTCCAGGTTTCTTCTTCTCCCCAACTTTCACTTCATTACATTTTCTGCTACCAGAGTCATCTTTTACATCCAGACCAGATGCTATCCTTCTTCTATAATCCCTGAATGACTTCCTGACCCCTGAATATAAAAGAGTTATTTTTCTTTTCTCTTTTATTTTTAATATTTCAATTCAAATAAAGATGTGATTCAGTATGTATCATAGATACATAATAATATAAACAGTCTCTTTTCTCAAGAGCTTAGAGCTTTTTTAGGAAAAATATTCATATATTAAAAAAGAATAATAATCTTTATGATGCTTGAAATGATTTCACGTGTATCATCTAACTTGAGCTTTATATATGATTCTGTATATCCAATATTTGCAAAATTTAAGGGACTTTTTCTTTTATGTAATATTTGACATAAAAAGTAGACATATATAAAGTATATGTAAATTATGAAGCATCATAAAAAAAAAAACCTTATATACCCACTTGTATTAGGGTTCTCCAGAGAAAGAGAACCAGTAAAAGATATATGACTTCATAACATTATGCTCACTTTTACCTAATTATAAGCCTGTTTAAACATACAAATTTATCATTTAAGTGAATTTACTGTTTACATTAAATAATATTTACTGAGCACCTGCACCTTTCTCTACCTAAGCTAGAAATTCTTCTTTATGTAAATGTATATATACACACACGTACACATGCGCACGCGCGCACACACACACACACACATATACCCACATGTATAAAGGAGATTTATTATGAAGAGATAGATTTATTTACTTATTTATTTATTTTTGAGATGGAGTCTTGTTCTGTCACCCAGGCTGCAGTGCAGTAGCGCAATCTCAGCTCACTGCAACCTCCGTCTCCCAGGTTCAAGCAATTCTCCTGCCTCAGCCTCCTGAGTAGCTGGGATTACAGGTACCTGCCACCACGCCCGGCTAATTTTTTTGGATATTTAGGAGACACAGGGTTTCACCATATTGGCCAGGCTGGTCTTGAACTCCTGACCTCAGATGATCCACCCGCCTCAGCCTCCCCAAGTGCTGGGATTACAGGTGTGAGCCACCGTGCCCAACCATGAAGAGATTTATTATGAGAAATTGGCTAACACGATTATGGGGGCTGAGAATCCCACCATTTGCTTTCTACAAACTGGAGACCTGGAAAACCCAGTGATATAATTCAATCTGACCTTTAATCAAGACAGGGTAAATCATCAGTGGGCTTCATGTCTTTTCCCATCTTAAACTATTTCTTTTAAGATCAAAGCATTTAGCCCAACTTGAATGTCCGAAATTCATCAAAGTAAGGTGACAGGGAATGAGGACAAGTTCCTTTCAATAACCCTGGCTTCCTTATTCTCTGACAATCTTCAAAGAGTACTTTGCTCCTGAGGACAATCTTGTGAGAGCAAAGCAAGTAAATATCCTTATGTTTATGTCTTCATGTTTTTCATCAGTGATGATTATTAGCCATTTCTCTTGGACAATAGTCTGTCCATTCTTTCATTTCTCTTTATCTGGAATTTCGATTAGATATTTGTTTAACCTTCTCATTTTATTCTCTGTGCTCCTTAATACCTCTTTAATATTTTTCATCTCCTAATACTTCCTTGCTACATTCTGGACAGTTTCATTCATTTATTCAGCAAATATTTATTTAGCACTTACTAATGGTAAACACTGTTTTGGGCAGTTGAGTACCTCAGGGAACAAAATAAATGCATCCCTGCCCAGGAGGCGCTTACATTTGAAGAGACGAAATTAAGAAACAGACAATAAATGATAAATATAGTAAGCAAATTACGTGGAATGTAGAAGGTGATAAATGCCACAAAAAAGGCAAGTAAATGCCATGAAAAAGGAGAATAAGGTAATTCCCTCTCTGTTTTTATTGGTCATTTAACATTCAATTAAGTTTTTATTTTATTTTATTTTTTTTTTTTTGAGACGGAGTCTCGCTCTGTCACCCAGGCTGGAGTGCAGTGGCCGGATCTCGGCTCACTGCAAGCTCCGCCTCCCGGGTTTACGCCATTCTCCTGCCTCAGCCTCCCGAGTAGCTGGGACTACAGGCGTCCGCCACCTCGCCCGGCTAGTTTTTTTGTATTTTTAGTAGAGACGGGGTTTCACCGTGTTAGCCAGGATGGTCTCGATCTCCTGACCTCGTGATCCGCCCGTCTCGGCCTCCCAAAGTGCTGGGATTACAGGTTTGAGCCACCGCGCCCGGCCAAGTTTTTATTTTAAACAATTATTTTTTTTTTATTTCTAAATGTTCTACTTGAT